ACCAAGATCGTAACTTGGATTTGTAGAAATGAAAGTTTTGAGATATAATAGATTAAGAAAGACACTTACAGAGGAAATCGGTGTTTTCAAGACCCCTGGCGCTGACGAGGAGAAGTTCAAGCGTTCCCTGAGGCATGTTGTTATAGGGATGAGAAAGACAGAATCGAGACAGGAGGCTTTTTTTTATCTTTCAGGGTCCGAGGAGAATCAACATTGCTCCGTCATGGGTTATTTATTTGTACACGTGCTGTGCAAAAATGTAAACGTACTGGTGGGTAGAAGTGACCTTTTTCATCCCCAAGTCATGCAGGCTGGCACTTGGTTGGCCGGCGGGCTCAACTGGTGTAGGATTTTCTGCCATGATTATTTCATGACTTTTTTTAAAAATAATTTTAAAATAATTAATTCGTGGCATATTGGCGTGTGCCACTTGACACCACGGCGAGCATTCAACTACAGTATGATATTTTTTTTTAATAATTTAAATAATTTAATGATAATTTTTTTAATTAAAAAATTTTGAACTCAAATTATATAATATATAATATATAAGTAAAATAAATTAAAAATTAAAAAAATTATTTTTTATTATATAATTTAAAATTAAAAAATTAAAAAAATTAGTATTTTTTTTAAAAAAAATTTTGTGGGGGAAAGTGGGCAAAGTGCTGGGACTTGGGTTCATGATCCTGTCCATGATCAAAGGTGGGACAGGTTTCCGTATATGTCTACTTGTTGTCCATATGAGAAAAAAGTGGGCTGGATGGATTAAGAGACTGTCTGGATCGACATGACACAGGCCCAAGCCTTGCTGGTTTTATAATGTCAACTTGATGCAGTTTCCGTTGTTAGGTGCGGTTAGACACAGTCACACAATCATTTTGCAAATTGAACACCTTCACTCCAATAAAGCTTTGTTCTAGTTTTTAAAAGGAATACTATTTAAGCTTATTAATCATGTAAGGAGTTATGAGTTAGTTAATAAAAAAGTTCGTTTCTCATCTTATTGATCAATATTCAATTTATTTAAGAAACTAAATAAAAGATAATTTCTCATAAAATTTTTTAATTCATATGTAAATGATTTGTCTTTAACTAAATTAAGAAGGGATTAATCTTAAAAATTAGTCTTGAGGTGTATACAAGTTGACCCATAGATGCCCTAACCACTAAACCAATTACCAAAATAATAATAATAATAATAATAATAATAATAAATAAAAAGTTGGTTAATAACATAACATAGAACCAAATGTAGCTCTAAATAGAGACCGTAGAGAAGAAATAAATGTTGTATTTATTTCAATTTGATACAACAGTAAATCTGTCTATGTTCAAACAGCCAGAGAGCCTAATACATGAACTCAGACTGCTTCCATCCACCAAAGTTCTCCTCTTCTGCCTCATAACCCGTCACAATTCAGTGTTGGTGCAAACACAACTTCATTAACAGAGTTTCATAAAAATATTGCAACATGCTGCTATATATGTAGTATTGTATTGATACATAAATCGGTCTTTGCAATTGCGAAGATTAGCTAACGAATACCTCTAGCTCTGGAGTGAAGGTAAGGCCGCCAACTCTGATCTCCCCACGCTATTTCTGGTCCTTAACAACATTGTATGATGTTATTGGAATGAATCCTTCCTCAAACACTGCCCCCAGGGACATGCTAGACAGTGATATATAATTAAGAACCAAATTAGTGTTGGTGGTTTGCCCCGATAAATCGAAAACAAAATATAAAAATCACGTAGCTTCTCTTACAAAATCATCCGAGGCCAGAAGATCCTTGTCCTTTATTTTCAATTTGGCTCCGGTAACACCTTCACTGATACTGAATACAAACGTCTCGTTCCACTGTGGATCAGACCCTTGTCCTGCAAAGAATTATGATATACATATCCTTGTACATGATCGGTTCCTCTGAAAGTAAAAGACATGAATTCTAAAAGATTTATATATGTTTTTGAGAAACACACCTGATGCAACACTGCTTTTCTGTTCCTGATTGCGGCAAGTAAGTATCACGTAAGGATCCACTTTAACTGTTCATGCATATCAACATTCAAACTTCACGTAAGCATATAAAGCGAAACATTTTTTTTTTAAAAAAATGATCTGTAATCGACAGCATTTTCTTGATGAAGCCAATCTAAAATGTTGTAAAATGTACTTAAGCAGTTGAACAATTTGGACTGAATCAAACACAAACCTTTTTTTTTTTTTTTGGGTATATCAAGCTGCTTAGTAATATAGAAGATTAAATCTCTAACTTTGACTTTAAATTATAAATTTTAAATTAATAAATATTAATTCAAACAAATTCGTATTGATTTACATACAAACAGTAATGAAAGAATGATTCTACAGCTTAAATTCTGATTCAATAAAGAAATCTTGGAGGAATGAATCAAGTTCAACA